ATAGAAACAATCGATATCACGATTTCATTCATCTGTTGTTGTGTTGAGCAATTTTTCATTAAAATGGGTTTATGTCAAAGAAATGAAGTGAAATTTACAGCAATTCGGTATGGATTCCTCTGAGAACCTTACCATTCGATTCCGAACTTTCGCTTTACGCTGAAGGAGTTCTTGTCATCAGAATCAGGTCTCATTTCTAGTTCAGAATGAATTCATTACCAGACGTCCAAATCAGACGGGTTGTAATTTTTGAGTCGAACTCGATTTGTCTGAAATTCCACTGAGTAAGGGCCATTCGATTTCGTTTCCCGTTTAGACTTTAACGGAACCTTGGGAAACAGAACCTTTGGCCTGGAGCAACTCACTTCTACAGAAAATCTCCCAAACTTCTAGCCTGGCTTCTCAACGGCCTTGATGATTATATTCGCGATTCGCGTGCAAGTCTCACGTCGTTTTTGAATTTTATATGCACGCCTCAGAAACCGTAACTGTCCGTTTTTCGGCGGGACATCTTTTCGAAGGAGGTCTTTGTGTGTTACGTGGCGGCCACGTCAGCTCCTCATTTCTCACTAAACGAATTTCTATGAGATTATACTGTTGCTTGCCGACTTCGGTGGGTTCATAGCTGTATTCCTCTTATTCCAGTCTTGTGGAACTCTCTTACCATCCTTTTTCAGCCCATTCTAATAAAGACTTCTTACGATGGAAATTAATTGGTTAAATTTAAAGAGAGCGTTCCGCAACCGGTTGGGGACCACCTCTTGCGGTACTGTCAGTTCCAGTTAAAATTATCATCTATTCTATTTGGGGTCAAGATGGAATGTGACGGTCTCACAGTTTCCTTTTTAATTGATTCTTGACCTTTTCAATGCATAGACGAGGAATGTTCGCTTCTTTCGCTTTCTTCCGAGAAATTTCAAATCTTTGTTTCGATTCCGCTCTACTGAAGCTTTTCGCCTGAAAAGCGAAATCATGAAGGCCTCTTGCAGGGAACTGTGGATGTAACAAAGGGACGCCGCTCTATCTACGATTAATTCTCTCTTAACTGCCGTGAGTTCACAAAAAGTTGTATTCGGATGAACCAGTAATAGCAAATAAAGCCTAAAGCCTTGAGGCGTTAATAAATCCCGTCTGAGGGATGCGCCCCCACGTTCGACTCCCATTTAGAATCGTGATGGCCTATTGAACGCGTATGTGGCCTATACAATGAGTTGCGGTGGTCAGCCGATGTACAATTCAGTGCTTTTATCCTTCCAGATGAGTCTGGCACCAATTAACCGACCCCGGAGGGATGGGAGGCTTAGTTGGCCTACGAGGCTTCTGACTACTGATCATGCGTTAGGGGTGGCGCGCTACTTGATGCTATGCAACCTTCGCCATAGAGTAGAAAAAGCTAATAAGTACCCGTAAAATGGTGTGTCGCCAGAGAGTAGCTTCAGCAAGGGCGACTCAGTCCTTGATTTAAAAAATTTCCACTTTTCTTTCCGAATACAATAATCTGAAGTCGTTTCGCTTCGTTCGTTTCACTAGACGGTCCCCCAAAATTAGAGTTAATCTTTCTTATGCAAGGACTTGTCCTTAGGACGCCTATTTCCCATTTTTCTATTTGATCGACATTTTCAGAAGGTTGGAGCAAGTGCCGTTCACATTGGCTTGACCTTTTCACTTACTGCATCAATCTTCTATTCAGAGTCAGACATGTGTCATTCATCTGTTGACGTCTACACCAAATTATGCCGTACTTACGCTTGTAGTTTCGGGTTTTTTCCTTGACACGGTGTTCCGGTCATAACACTTCTCACTCCAATGTGAATTTTCTATTTAGTCGTGATAGCGTGATGTTGTTAATAGTACTGGATAGTTGATGTATTGTGATCCCATCAATCTTTGGGTATGGATAAGCCACGGCGGGTTAGATCACTGGGGTTGTGGAAGGCAAAATCACCGGAAGCCCTGAAGTTCGTCCATCATACGGTAAAACCTTTGCTTTCATTCAGTCTTCACAATTGGGATCTCTCGGAGCTTAAGGTCCCCTTTCTTATACCACAGAACTATCGGGCAACTGTGTGAGCGAGTATGTGATGTTTACTGGGTGTCTACCTGTTACCCTAAGTTCTACCAAGACATGTTTGCCTCATAGGGAACTGATAGGTCTTTGTCCTGAGAACCTGTTTCTCGTGGTATCCTCAGTGGCCGATTACGTCAGAGCTTATGTATTTATGTGTTTTAAAAAGTACGGAGGTGTTGTCGTGAAGGACGTTGTAATTGTAAATGTGCGGATTGGGTGGATTCCTCAAACCCTTTTTTGGTTCGGAAGCTTTAAATTCCTCCCATACTTTTGTGGACGAGCTTGGGTTCCTTTTAAAAAGTCAAACAGCGCTGCTGTTTTCTTTTTGAAGCTATAAGTGAGTGGAGTTTCCTCTAATGGGAGAAATTTACTAGTTTTCATTGAATATCCTAGATTTTTGTTCTTTAGGCGACGTTTTTTTTTTTCGAAAAGTGTTTTGTTTGGCGAACGTTTAGTGGGCGGCTATTTGTGGGTCTCAAATAAATGTTTACCCTTCCAATTAACCTTTTCATTGACCGCACTTGATACACTGCATAATCGTTCGTGGCAAAAGTGCAAAGGTGGTCGGATAATTTCTCTCAATGAGCCTTGATATTAATGGGGGCGGCCAATCATACGGAAAAATGAATGTGGGTGGGTGTGCTTCTCATTTCCTATGCGGTGGGTGGAGTGGAATAAGATGAATTCCTACCTTCACTGTTCTCATGGATTTTTGTTCATGGAAATTGAGGGATTACCTGAAAGTGTGAATTTGTTACCACTCTTTATGACAATATCTTTGATTGACCTTTTCTTCAAAAGCTACATTTTCAATTCGGAAATTGGGTTTTCCCAAGGTGGTCGGGTTCTGGGAGCGGCCAGGATACCCAGAAAACACACCCATGGTGTCTGTCGTTCTGTTACTCGCCATTGTGCCCTGTCGTAATTTGAACTGAGTGGTAGTATGTGGGAGGCATTTTGGGTGTTCAGTTTATTATGAAAATTCATTGCAATAAAAATTATTATAAAACTATAAAATAAAATTCATTTTAAAAATCTCAGTAACCAATCAGTAATAGTTTTGTTCCCAGTTGAGTATTTTGGGTACTTGTCGTAGACCTTGCTGTTTAGTGTGTCGTTATAAATTGCAGTGTTACGTATGTTCCTTCTTAGCAGCATGTTTTCCTTCTTGTACAGTATCTCCCATTTCACGAAGAAAGCGGAAAGTGAAAAACAACTCGATTGAGGGCAGCGTGAAGAGGTGTTTGTGTCGGTGACTGGTCGCCGAAAGGATCGTATTCTAAATAGTCTTACATGGTTACCCTGTTGTTGCGAGATGCTGAAAATAACAAAAACATTTTCGATTTGATAGCAGGTTTAGACCGGATCTCTTCACAATACTTGAATTTCAAGGTGGATATGCAGTCTCAGAGCTGGCTCCGTTTCTTTCGACCCAAGGCATCATCTACCATCACCTTGGGCTTTGAAATATCTTGATCACGTTCCTTCGTTTTTTCTTTGAAGGTCCTCGTGATTGCTTTCCCTGAACTTCTCGCTTCTTTGTCTGATCTCTTAGCCTTTAGAGCTTTTATTTGAGTGCTTGCTGCAAGGACTCGGAAGTGGTCCTGTTCGTGATTTGCAGGACACACACTTACGTTCTTCACCTAATTTAGCCCCGCAGCTCGTGCAACTAAAAAAAAANAAAAAAAAACGATGCCACTTTTGTAAACGCTGACTGACCTCGTTCGTGTCATGGTCGACATCTGGATGGGAAGAATTATTCGTCCGATCGAATGAGGTCGAGCAAAGCCGGCTGAGGTTGGAATCTTTGATTACGGACCGAGAACTAGTAAAAAAGCGAGTTTTCGATAGGTTAATTCACCATTTACCCATTCTTGGACAGCGTAGGTTGTCATAAAAAGAGGTGAGGATGACTGGTTCAACAAAAGCGGTGCTAAGGA